AGCACTCTCTATAGACTACGTGCCTAGGAGTCACTATTCTGCAGTAGTTGTTCTCTGTAGCGATAATCAAATCCTCATCATCTGGTATGTGTCAACTTACAACTATCTTTGATTCATATTGATTTACACTTACTCAGCTGATATAAATACATTGTACTTCTCATTGTATAGAAGTGAGTGAAATATAGTAGAACCACCTTACCTCCATTACTCTCTATTTTCTATAATGTTCTTCAATATAGTTGTAGAAGCAAATTTTTTTCTTTGGAACAGGGCTATTTACCCGTTGTCATCCCCTTCGAAGGTGTTTCGTAGTATAACTAATCCCTCAGCGAGCCTACTAGCAACCAACCCCATAAGTGCAGCACATGCAGTTATTTTCTCCCAACTTAAGAGGTCGCACTGCATAAGAGGGGATTCGAACATGGGTTGGGGGTTCCAAATCATGCTCGCCTACTAAACCAGCTTAAGCCCGATGGGGTGGATCACAAATTTTCTCTTGAGAGTCATTTTTCTCTCTCAAAAGTGACTAAAAATCAACATGTATCAGGCATAATTGTGGGCGGTTATCAAGGTTTGGCATTCATGCTTTGAAGATTTGGTCTTACTTTGTAAGGTGGATTGCCCTTATTTGCACAAATCTAAATCAATCATGGAAAATTTTTCATCCCATTTTGAGGCTTCTTTTGGGACGGTTTTTTTACTATTTTCTAAAACAACTTTAAACTAAAAAAATTGTTTTAAAAAACAATAAAAAAGTTGTCCCAAATGAATCTTTCCCATTAACATTAATCTCACACACGCACACACACAACGAGAAGATAACGATCCTCTAAAATTTAAGAGAATATTCTGTGCAGTCACCTGACGGTCTTTAGGCGATTCAGAATACGCCGCATCACCTGATACACAACACTGATACATAGCTAAAAAATGATGTGGCGCGTCTTGATTCACCTCCTAACGATATCCGGTGACCGTACAAAATAATTTTCCTTAAATTGAAATTAAATTTTAGCCACCGAGAACAAGAAAATAAGACATTAAATCTCACAGCATATATGTTATCTAATATAAAAAATTTTCTCATCATATGCACTTTGGACGTCATTAATCCTGTAAAAAATCTTAGCCACAGGAAAGTAATGTCAGAAGAAAATAGATCCCTATTACTTAGGAGAAAAATTGCGTTAGAACTAAAAAGTAAATGGTTTGTGTAATTCTATTTTTTTAAGGACAAATGGCAGAATTTAAAGAATATCATGACATATTTTACTTGAGGATATTCTTATGTAATTTTTTTTGTTTTAAATTAGGCTGCTCAAACTCTAGCTGGGCACCTCTACTTATATTTATAACTATCATTCCCATGCAAAAATTTATAAAAGTTCCTTGGAGTTCTCTAATGTTATTCTCGATTTTTCTCATCCCGAGTGCTAATTCCTATTTTGCTTCATTTGATCACTCTACTAATAAATACTGATGATATACTATGCTCGCTAATACTGGTTTTGAATAGAGTCATTTATATCTATATAAGGGTATAACCGAGTCAAGTTAAATCGCGAGCCAGCTCGGACTCGACTCGGTAACGGGCTCGACGAGTCAAGCTTATTGAGCTCGTGAGTCAAGCTCGAATATGATTTCGAGCTCGAGGGATTACCAAGCTCAAGCTCGATCATAGTTCTGCTCGACGAGAAGCAAGCACAAGTGACCGGGCGAGAAAAATGACCTCGGTTTGGGCGGGCGGAAAATCAAAACGATGGAGTTTGCTCGACAGCGGCACTAGGGACGATGATGGAGATCGCTTGTTGCTTGACGGCGGAACTTGGGATGGCGCAGCTTGGAGGTCGGAGGCTCGGAGTGTGCGTGCTGCTAGCGGGGCTAGCAAAGTTGATACGACGAGCTTGCGGCTTCGACGTAGCTCGGATGGAGGTTGACAGTCGACGTAGCTCGGGACGACGTAGCACGAGATGATGCTCGACGACAGAGATCGGGAAGGAGCTCAACGAGCCCCTCGACGTGAGACTAGTTGAGCTCGAGCTCGGCATTTTACAGCCGAGCTCGACTCGAACAACCCCTGACTCGAGCTCGACTCAACTCGTTTGCACCCTATACAAATATGTCAATTGGGTCTTCTCTGAGCTCTTGTTTCCTTTTTTTTTCACTATCATAATTTTACTTACTTTTTGGGAATTTTTTCTCTCACTCTGTTGACTGATTTGCTCTCGAAAGCTGTCTTTTTTTGTATTTTTAGAGCCAAATAACCCTTGACAAACGTTGTGTTTAAATATCCAATTCATCCAACATTTGCAAATAATTAAATTCGCATTACTTAACAATACTAACAATTTTAAACATAAGTAGCATAAAAAATACTGTTGGTTTTGTGGTATGTGAGAAATCCCGTTTAGGGAGGAGAGAGCAGAAGGGATGAAGAGAGAAGGAGACGGGTTGTGTTTGAGAAACAGAGAATGAATTTCATTCCTTGAGCGGGAGATTTACATTTGTTTAAATAGAGCTAAAGATACAAGAAGGTACAGTTTCTAGAAGAAATAAAATAACGGTAAAGATAACGTTCAGTTCAAATTCCTTAAGAGTATGATTCATTCCTCTGATCTTTTTGTAAAGATCCATCTTCGGTCACTGTCTTCCAGGCTTTGCTTTCCACTTTTAAGAGTGATCAATTCTGATTGGTTTGTAGTGTTTTGCAAGCACGATCAATGCAGACCGGTCTCTACATAGAGAATGGGACATGAGCTCTTCGACTAATCGGAAGCAATTAATACTGGCAACAAAAGTCCGGTGGGTGTGGCAAGCACTGTTGCTTTCTTCAATCGTGAGCCACTTGAAATAAACCTCTACAATATCAACACTCCACTTGCCCACCGTGAGCTGAGCAAACTCGCATGGGACGGCATAAATCGTTACGGCTTTTATAGATTCAACACTGTAGAAGAGAAGCTTGCCCTACGGCTCTCGGACGGGGCAAATTATTCTGTGTGCAGACACCGGACAGTTCTACAATCCGATTTCGTGCTCGGCATATTTTTGGGACGACATGACATATTTCGTGCTTGAATCCGAACCGGCACGTAATAATTTTTCCTTCTACGGTTCTGTTATGATTGCTCAGTCTCGCAGCAATAACGCCTCCTCTATCGCTTCTCAACTTAAATTTCCTATGTTCAAATATCAAGAGAATGTAATCACTACCCAACTCGCTCCCGAGAATCATCCTATTTGGCTATTTCAAAGGTATTTAACGGTTTCAAGCACGTCGTTGCAAAGGTACAATTTATGGCAAATATGGAGCAGCCTTTATGATACTGCAATTATGTGTATTAGACTGCTAACAAAATTGTGGAGCTCAATTTTCATTTCGTGAAAAAACGAAGTAGTGATAATTTAGGCTTAATTTGGAATAGTTTTTTGTTATTTTCACAGCAATTTTTTTACTAAAAAGTCGCTTAAGAAACATTAAGAAAGTTATCTCAAAGACGGATTTCTTATTGCTTCTTAAAGTTACTTTTTAGTATAAAAATATATTTTTTGGTACTAAAAAGCTGATTTAAGAAGCGTAAGAAAGCCGTCTCAAATTAAGCCTTAAGCTTTGTTTGGGATAGCTTTGTTACTGCTTCTTAAAGCAGCTTTTTAGCACAAAAATTAAAATTTTTGTACTAGAAAGCTGTTTTAAGAAGTAGTAAGAAAGTTATTTCAAACAATACTTTAATCACATCGTGTGCCTTCAATTTTATTCTATTTTTAGTTATCCTAAGCTTTTTTTTCTTACAAAGGATGTTGTTGTGCAAACTGCAAGTGCACAGCTCACAAATTCAATTTCTTACGAACAAGATCGCACAAACTGAAATAACGGGGGGAGAGAGAGAGAGAGAGAGAGAGAGAGAGAGAGAGAGAGAGAGATCAAAGAACAAAAAAACACAAGAATACAAACAGAAATTTATTATCGAAGTTCGGCAAATTGTATGCATCCTTACAGTTCGTTTTGCACTATGAAGAATGTACACCCCTTATCATTGATCACATAAAGGTATAAGGTATACAAACCAAGCAGCTAAACATCTCTAGCGTAAGATATAAGCAGCAACTGCAAGATTGAAATAAATTAGGCTTCGTTTGGGACGACTTTTTTATTGCTTTCTAAAACGGAGTTTTAGTACAAAAATAAAAAAATTTGTACTAAAACTCCGTTTTAAAAAGCAATAAAAAGCCGTCCCAAACGAAGCCTTAGTCATGTTAAAAGAAAACTGTGAGTGTTAATCAAAGATAATAAGCGATAAAAAATGAAAACAGATAATAATATAGTAATTCTTCACAATCAAGCATAGTAAAATATGCAGCGCCAATAGAACATAGCCATCACTTGGATGAACTTGTATAAAATTCTTATGTATTTTTATACTATGATCTTCTTTTCTATATTTTGTACTTTGTTTTGCTCGTTATTTGTTTAGATTTGGCATAATACTCAACACTAAGCGCGTTATTGGTTGAATGCTTTGATATCATTTAAGAGATATTGAGTACAAAGATTAGAATAAGGTTTCATCTGGAATAGTTTTCTTTCTGCTTCTTAAAGCAATTTTTTAGTACAAAATTAAACTTTTTTTTACTAAAAAGCTGTTTTAAGAACCAGAAAGAAAGCCGTCTCAAATAAAGCCTAAATGACTATGTGATTTGTACTTCAGTCCCTCTGTGAGTGGAAAAGAATTCTACTTTCTTATTCAACTTTCCACACCACCACTTTTTTTTTTATTTAACTTTCCACACCATGACTTATCCTTTCAACTATTCCAAGCATAGATGCAAGTGATTCCTTCTCGGTAGCCACTAACTGTATGGACTCAAATCTCAGCTTCTGAATTGAGAGCTGATACTCAAAATTGTAATCAATATTCTTTGATCATCCATCACCATAATATTCCAAATGGGTGAAGATGCCAAAAACACTAGAATGGGAATAAAAGAACTCCAGAAAATGTCGAAATCAACAGTAAAATAAAAGCCATGCTTGCATTATTACATAAAGGTACAATCTGCAAACAAACTCTCAGATCATTTCTTCCCTTAATATTTATCTTCTCACTCATTTAGTTATTTACAAGCATATAAAAAAAGCATCAAACCAACATACCTAACCAAGCATTAGAGGAAACCACAGAATTCCCCTTGCCTATTGTCAATTTCTACAAAACCTAGCTCAGCCTACTTAATCAAATTAGAAATGAGCAGAAGCTCCCTATGAGCTTTCCTGGAAGGTGAAAGACCGTGAAAGCGCAGCAGGATTTGCAAGCAAGACCTGAGACAGCTCATTTGAAGGATTTTTGTGGTCTCCATTTGATTGAAAGGCCTTGAAGAGTCCCCCTCCCCTACTAATTAAATCTGCTTTTATCAGTGTTGAATCCAATGGTTGCCCACATTGAACACTCTGCAGCTTTTCAGGGACATCAACCCTCATTGTCTTTGGAGCCCAGAGAGACTTCTCAGGTATGGAAGTATTCCCCTTATCTAAATGACTATGGTTCAACAAATTCCCCTCTCTTGAATGCTTCCCTAAGTTCGGAGAATTTGAAACTGAGCAGGAGGAGCCACTGCTTGGTGAAGTTGAAAGCGGTGGTGACAGCCATGGCATGCCCCAATATGCAGTAATTGGGTAGAAAGGAAAAGCAAATGGAGGATGGGTCCATGTATAAGGCCAAGGACTTCCATTGATGTTAGAAACATTTGGAGGGAATCCATAGCAATTTGAAGTTGATGATGCTTTTACTTGTTCATTCAAATTTGGGGATCCACTCAACTGCTCCTTCTCCTTCTGGTTGCGATTCTGTACTGTTTTCTCCACAAGCTTCATTACTGAAGCCATGGATTCACAGAGAGGGGCGTCGGAGCCAAAGCTGAGCACTGTACCATTGGATTTTAGAGGCTGAAGATGATGGATTGATTCGGGGACAGCTTGAACACAATCGGCGATTGTGATCTGTCGAAAGTGTTGGTGGGAAGCTGAGCTCTTGCTTTTGCGACGGCCTGCGCCAACAGGGACGTTTCTCATGCTGCCACCAGCAGTCCAGTATCGCTGACAGTTCTTGCAGAAGTGTCTGGGCTGGTTAACGTTGTAGTTGTTGTAGTAACAGAACTTGGTGTCCATGCTTTTGCAGCGAGGACAAGGCAGTATCTTGTCTGGTTTTTTGTTGGCTTTATCCCGTGGATTGTTGTTTGATTCATTTTGTTCATCATCAGCTTTCGAATTCGAATTCTCAGGCGATGATGAGTTTTGATCGATCTTCTCTTCGTTTGCCAAATTGTTCGATTCATCATTCTTCTTCTCTTCTTCTCTTGAAATTGGAGCCTCTTCGTTGTTGTCCATTTGTTCTGGGCTGGCTTCTTTGTCTGAGGGAGCCTGTCAGTTTACAAATTCAAATTGTAAAGATTCATATGAGAGTGAAGATTATATGAAGAAAGTGAAATACAATTTGAGCTCTAACGGTCTTTACTCATTGTAACTTAATCCTCTGCAACAATTGGTATTCACTATTAACGTGTTGGGGTTCGAGTTGTGTCACTTTTTCTACACCTAACAGATATCAGAGATGATAGAGTTGGCTAGAGAATCTTTTCTTGATTATTTATATTGGTTATGCAAATAAAGAATAATAATCTAGTAATAAGATACAGTCACAGTAACTTTTTGTATTTTTTTTAATCTTAATGTAGGACAGATAATTATAACAGGAAGAAAATCCAAGATTGGTGAAAAGAAACTAAAAAAAAGGACGATTTTAGATTTGTTTAGAGGAAAATCCTTATGGCGTTATTCAAACTTGATCATTTAAGAGAATTTTTTATTGGTGTTTGGATATCTATGCGAACCAAAATAGTTATAAAGGATGACTCATCCCTCATTTGCTGCAGTGTTACTGTTAGAATAAAAAAAAATGTTAGCCTCATACTTTTCTTCTCCCTTAGAGAAAAGAAATAATAGAAAGGCAACACCTGTCACTCTTCTCTTGGCTGCCAAAATTTTCAACCGAAAAGATAAAATTGGAAAGTAAGAGCCACCATGAACTGGAAAGTAATGGATTGACATTTCAGGGGAAAGAAAGTTCTCCACCCACAAAATAAGGAAGAGATAAACATCAAAACGACCATTAACTTCACCAATCCATTGACCCCTGATAGTTCATCTGAGATCCTCCAAATCAACCTTTTAAAGGCAAATACAAAATCCAACAAAATCATAAAAATAATTAACCCAGATGAAAATTTTCCAATAAAAACAGAGAGACCCATATTCAAATCGCACCAAGATCCAATCTTTCTCACTCGAAACAGATCATCCATCTGATTATAATAAAAAAGATCAAAACTTGGAGATCTTATATTATTTCATTCAGAATCAGTGAATCACTCGTACTAACAATAAAGAAAAAGAGATCGAAGCAGCCGCCAATTACCTTCTCATCATCTCCGATAAACTCCTCTCCGATAGTCAACGAAACTACTACTCCTACCGGAATCTGTATAGTTTTCCCAAAAAGTTTGATCGCAGGATCTCTGCTCTCCGCCATCTCCCCTGTTTCTCCTCTTGTTTTTCTCACTTTCTGCTCCTTTCTCCTTCCCACTCTCTCTCCTGTTTCTTCAAATACTTCTCAGTACGAAGAACGAGGAGGTCGGGTTCTTGCGCTTACGCTCTCTCCTCTCTCTCTCTCTTCTGATCTATTGCCGTTGCGTTGGTTCTCATGGTTTCCTGCTGGGTCTTGGTTTAACAGATAGAGGGGAGCGAGAGAGGGCCACGTCAGCAAGGGGAGAGGATTCTGGCCACAAGTTTGCTTGTGGCCTCGAGGGAGCGTTATTTGATTCGTTTGCCTTTAACATGCTGCCGAATGGAAAGTTTTCAAAAGGATCACTCCAACTCAGCACCCAATACCTTGGCTTTAAACTAATAATAATCAGCACAAATTAATAAAGTAAAAGAAAAATATCTTAATAAAATAAAACATAAATATCATAATGTCATTAAAATAGGAGTGATTATTATCGTTCGGAGTCCTGATGTAGAGAATCATTCGGTTTTGTAATTGTGAACAGTAAAAGTACAATAAAATACAATATAAGCGCAGTGGCGAACAATAACTGTATTTTTATTGTTCACAGTCACAAAATCGAACGGTTCTCTAGTTACGTAATAATCTCTCCTAAAATTGGGCAAAAAAGATATATAGCTCATGCAGCTCATCTTGATCTATTTATTGAGAGTTTTTTATCAATAAGATATTTATTTAAAAAATAAATTTTTATTTAAACTTGCATGAAATGACGAAGGGGAACCTAATTGTGGCAAAATGATATGAGGGACACTATGGATAAAATATATGAAAGAAAAACATGAGAATAAGACATTTAGTTTGTAATTTTTTTTTTTGGGACATTTATTTAGTTTGTAATCGTTCTCCCATTCCAAAGGGTTAAATCTTCCATAATATTTAGCATGAGTAGACCTCAAAGGAAAAGTCAAAGGCATTACTTCTTTCATAGCTTGATTCATTTCCTAGTTCAATTCAAGCAAAACAAATTATGCCACGACTTAAATAATCCTTAAGTTTTACTCAAAATTTAATCTTAGACTAAGAGTTCGTTTAAAATTTTCTAATTCAAATAATTTATGTACTAAAAAACTATTTTAAAAAATAACAAAAAAATTATCTCAAACAAAATCTAAATTTCAATACCATTATTTAATTTTTTATTTAATATGGATCATATGAACTCAAGCCACAATATCTCAATCGAATACAAGCCATTTTCACAGTCAATGAAAGAAATATATAATAGGAATTGTTTGGATTCAGGATAACTAACTGAATTGTCTCAATTATAGATCACCTCGACTCTTATCTTAGGTCTCATTTTATTTTCTTCCTTTAAAAACTATTATTTCATTGAATCAACCCTTTGAATTTAGTTGATTCAAGAATTTATTATGTAAATTGAATCTAACATCAAGCTATGAAAGAAATAATGCCATCAACATTAGTAGATGTTTTAACTTAGTCCAATTTATCTATACAAGATTCTAGACGATCAATTTAGGAAATTAGTCCTATCGTCAAAGTTGTTAAGAGGGATCCCACCATTGTTGGTCCGACTAAATTTGGTTAGTAGAGTCGACGTTATTGGTATTGTCAATGCTTAGGCAATATGCAAGGCATTTTCACCTATCATAATTTTAATCAATGTTTATGCAACCAATATGAATTCCGGTGTTTTTCCATCATTGATCTAGTCCTCTTCGCCACCACCCAACTGCTCTTTAATTGGTAATCCTAAACCAAGACCTATCAATATTGGACCCGACCCAAAAACCCAACTCGAAATCGACCCGAAAATTTCTGGTTTAGGTTGACCCGAACTCGAAGCGGGTTGGGTTCGGGTCCAGAAAACCGATCAGTTTGCAAAAACGGGTCGGGTTCGGGTTGACCCGGAAACCCGGGAATAACCTAAAATGACTTGGAAAAGACCTTGCCCGTGTTGATTGCCCCGGGTTCCCCTATTGCCCGCCCATCCGGATGGTCGGTCTGCCCGCAGAGCATGCGTGGCCACGTTCATCAAGCCGTAGCTGTTGCCCGTGTGACGCTCCAGCGCCCACGTCGCATCGCAGCATCGCATGTCGCGCCAGCGCCTACAGCTACATCGAGCCTGCCGTCGCCCCGCTGGTCGCTACAGCTCCAAACTCCGTTGCCAGCTGTCGGCTACCGTTGCCTAACGCCGCTGCCCGCTAAACCTGCCGAACGTCGTTGCCGCAGCCACTGCTCGCTGAAGCTGCCTAAACGGGTCGGGTTGGGTTCGTATCCTGAAAATTGACCCGTCTGCAAAAATGGGTCGGGTTGACCCGAACCCGAATAGTGACGGGTCAGTTTCAGGTTCGACCCGAACCGGACCCGTAACCCGAAATTGACACCCCTACCTAAACCCTAAATAATTACCAACACTTTGTTATCATCTTATGGTGATACTTCTATGAGAATTTCATATCATTGTTTGCATTGGAGGAAAATGATATTGCTTGGGGAAAATGATGTCACAATAATTTGTTATTTTATCTCTATAAATTATAGACTAATGCACAATTATCAAGCATGATGTTCTTAATATCGTTGAAGGCCAAAGAAAAAGCCCAAAGAATTGGGACATGCATATCACAAGTCTTTGGAAGATTTGCCATTTGAGATTTGCATAAATTTCAAAAAAGGCATTTTTATGATGGTATATATTATTTAATGATTTAATCTTACAAATTCTCTTAATTTTTCACTAGCCAACCCATTATTTAACTGAAAATTATATCACGTGGCAAACTCTTAAGTCTTAATACAATTAAATTATTATATAAATATAACTAAATTATTAATTATATTATCTAATAATTTAATTATGTTGAAACATATTACATAATACTGGAGATCAATGATATTTGTACTAAAAATAACCTCATCGATCCTATGATAACTTAATTATATTAAGATTGTTGACATAAATTTTAAATTAGTTATAGTTTTTTTATTTAAACTACTACAATATTGAGCTTTCTCTCAATTATATAGGATAAATAATTTCATCAATAACTTTAAAGCGTAATTTCAAAGTGAATATTTAGTATTTAAATTATAAAGGAGAGTAGATGTATTAGATTCAGCTTATGTTAAAAAAAGGTTAGAGGTAGACATAAAAAGACTTGATTAGAAAGTATTAAAAATGACATTTTTTATAAAATTTAAATGAAAATTGATTGTTAATAGAAAAAAAAGGAGAAAAAAGCACCATATAACTATCCCCACAGAGTGGAATAAAGACTTGTTATTGTTGTTATTGTATTTTTTTGAAAATTTTCTTCCTATAATTTAGACCGTAAACCAATTCTCTAATGTCTCTCCTACCCTCTACATTATTAGAAAAATGATTTGGGCAAAAGTACAAGCGGTTGCAAAATAATAAATAACAAAAAAAAAACTAGATTAGAAAATCCTAATAAATTTTAATTTTGATCAACATCTTTTAATTAATTAACATTGAAAGTAGGTTTGATATTCTTCCACAAGAAATCAACATCTAAGTAGGGAGCCGATCAACCTCCCTTTTGCTGTCGTTCCTCCTTCACAGACGAGGCGCTATGTATAGGGTTGCTCGGCTCTGTGCGTTATGTCTGGTGTTCTGTATTTTTTCTTCCCTTAATTTTTGATTTCTTGCAATTTTCTTTCGTATGGCTACAAATCGGCTTGGGGATCCTGAGTTTTTGGATGGCAAGGCGAAGTCGAAATTTTGGTGATTCGCCTGGTTTTCTATCGCTCAAAGTTTCTTCTCATCGTGGTTTGCCTGCTTTAATTGTTTTGGATGGGAATTATTGTCTCTTGCCGCGCCTTTTGAGTTTGTGTTGGTAGGAAAATATTTGGTCCCTTGCCCACCTCTAGATTTGATTCGGAAATTCTTCTTTAATCTCAAGTTGGGTGATGCATTTTCGGTTACTATCTTGAATCCTAAAAATGTGTTGATCAAGCTAGCTAATGATCTAGATTATTGTAGAATTTTCTCTCACCGATCGTATTTCATCGCTAATTGTTTTATGAAGTTGTTTAAGTGATCTCCCCTCTTTTATGTTAAAGTTGAGTCGCCTATTATGCCCTTGTGGGTCTCTTTTCCCAGTTTGCATCCTCACCTTTTTTTCACCTCGCATTTTTCATGGTTTGGGCTCTATGTTTGGTAGGCATTTGCGTGTTGATAATGCCACTTCGAACGGCACACGATCATCTGTTGCTCAAAATATTGTGGAACTAGATGTCACGAAACGTTATGCTTCTCAGGTGTTGCTTGGCTCTGAATCTATGGGCTACATCCAAAATATTGAATTTGAGGTTTTCCCATTGTATTGCTCTCATTGTAAAATGTTGGGTCATTCTAAGAAGGTTTGCCCTATTTTATTTCCTAAGATGGATGTGCGTCCCTCTGTTCTTGAGGTGGCTGTCGTGGAGGTGGCTGATAATCCTGTTAATGGTTTGGTTGAGGTGGTGCTTAATGAGGGGGTACCTGTTAATAATATTACTCTCGATAATGATATTATAGATGTTGTGCCTCCTTTACTTAATGAGGTGGGTTCTGTTATTGCGAATGTTGTAGAGTTATATTGGTGTTCCACACCGTGATGTTGTTTTAGTTTCACCTACTATTGTCCTTCATCCGATTGAATGCGTTGTGTTGAATGCTCCTGGTAAGTCTGGTGAGGGTTTGTATAACTTGGTTGCTCCTATTGTTGAGGAGGTGGAGGCGGAGGATGGTGTGATTCAGATGGATGGGTGACTTGGTTCACCTGGGGTTGTGGATGTCCCTAGTGTGGTGGTTGTTGTTCCTCCCCTCCTGGGATTTGCGATGGTTGATGGCAATATTTATGTTGATCATTTGGATGCTTTGGTCATGATTCCCTTCGTTGTGGGGAGTGATTGTGATGCTTTGATTGATATTCCTATGGGGCTTATTTTGCCAAATATTTTTAAGTCAAGGATTTTGTCGCTAGGAGGAGAGTCCTATTTGAGACAAATTGTTTTGTTGGACGACTCGATGGATTCTTCTTGTGATTTGGATGATGATTTGGAGGATGAAGTTGGGGCCTTACAAGGCTCGTATGGTTTGGATATCTCTAGGGCTTTGGGTCCCCCTTTCTCTTGTTGTGGAAAACTGCGTCATTGCAAATCTAGGAGATAGTTCTTCTGCTTGCCTCATGGATGGCCAGGCTTGGTTGCAACCTTGGTGGTCTTTTGGTCTTTGATTG